TTAAATGTTAATTTTTATATTGGGAAACTAAAATTTAATTTAAAATTTAATTATATTAAATTCGTTGCAATTAAGCACGTGCATTCCTAATTTACTTAATTGAGTCCTCCAGTTTTCAAATGTTGCTATTTTATCCTTTTACTTTCCCAAGTCTCTTATTAAGACCAAAAACAACAAACAAGTTGAATTAAATTTCTAATTTTAAAATATGCAATTGTGTTTTATATAAAAGATTGTGAGATGCATACGTATCCTTTTTTACTTCTAGTTGTACTCTTAAGTATCTTTGCACATATCATGTTTTAACTTATCTTATCTTACAATTTAAATGAGGAACTACTCTTTATTTTCACATTTTCACACTTAATTTTCAAATTTTCATTTTATTTTTGAAATTTAATAGGTTATCAATAACAATGGCTAGGTTAATTCAATTAAAGATAAAAGGGATAATGTAATAGGAAAGTAATGAATTCCTATGAAAATTCAAGAGCTCACAACTTACTAACACTTTATTAATATATAATGATATTTCATCAACGACCTGTTGGTCCGAATGGAAGAAGTTCAATTTCTCTTAAACAAGATCTCGAATTCGAGTTTTGTGAATGAAAAAACAGACACTAAGAGATCTTCACCCCTATATAGAGTCTGATTCAACTCGACTTCGAATTAATTAAAACCCAATGTATTTTTTAGATACTGAGAGGTTAATACCAAAAAAATTATATAATGATATTCCAATAGAGCAAATATAATACTTCCTCTATCTTAAAATCACGATCATTTTTTAATTTTAAATTTTTCTTAAATTAATTATTATTTTTTCATTTTTCAAGATAAATAAATATTTTTTTTTATTTTAACTTTGTTATTATCCATTCACTTTAATTAATCCGTACTATCCATACCGTAAAATTAAATTTTTGTAATTGTATAAGTTACATAATAATGTGGCATTAAATTAATACACGGATATTGAGAAATTAGTATGTTTTACGAGTTGCAGGCATAACTCTTGTTGCAAATCTTAAAATAGTAATTAGCTATACTGTTCTTTCACATATAATATAAAATAGAGTAATGATAGGGGAGAAGATTTTGGACAACGAAAACGGAGGACGACAAGTGAAGCAGGCCAAATTGCAGAATACAAAATTATCAATTTAACCCTACTTCACTTATCGTTCTCTGTTTTCGTCCCCCAAAATCGTCCCCCCTATTATTACTCTATAAAATATTCATAAACAAAACAAGTGAATGTATATTGATTTATCTAACAGATAATCACACATTATAAGTGTTTTCAAGACTAGATCAGATTAACCAGTCAAAACGGTCAGACCAATGAGCAATGAGAACAATTTTGCAATCGATTGACTGACCAAACTGATTAAAACTAACCAATCAATTAATTTCCCCGACCGTGGTTTGACTCTCCCCACATCCTTGGTTATCACAAAATCTTGGCACGAGATTTGTGTTTTTCAGTAGGAAAAATATTCAAACAGGGCTTGCACATCCCTAGGATGTATGGTGTGATTGATTGAGTCAAATATTGTTAAAAGGGAAAATTCTAGACAACAACTACCAAGTGGATATCGTATCAGGAAAATAGAGGGTACAAACACCAACTAACTAAAATTTCAGTAAGGTCTCCGAAAATTCTAAGTTCTACCTCCTTCCCCCATGGGAAATGACCTTGGAAAATATTTGACAAATATGTTCATGAGGGAAAGAAAACCAGAGCTGGTACCATAAGTTAAGCTATGAAGCAGTTTTTTCTCACTGGGATTAGGGCAGCAAAATGGTCACTTACATTTTCCAACCGTCCGCACCATCAAGCTTCTTGGAAGTTGGTTTTGAGCCATTGTTACTGACAAGTATGTTCATGAGTTAATCTGCTCACAATGAAGTTATGAATTTCTTAATCTTGACTTGAGTAGTCTATGCAAATTTGGTCTTGAGCCATTGTTACTAGGTTTAGAATTTCTATCAAAGGATTTAAATTTGAAGCAAATAATAAAGTATTAAAGATGTGATTCTTGTGGATTTCTTTATCTTGATCAGAATAGTTTTTGCAAATTTATATAGTCATTGTAGCCAAGTTGAGTCCATTAGAGTGACCCTAAGCTCCTTTTCAATGTCAGTTATAGTTATTGCGTATAGATCCTTCAATTTCAGTTTATGTCAACCTTTCTAGCTTAAGTCTTCTTGGAGGATAGAACACATCTATTAAGCACTATGCATATAGCCACACATTCTTACAAATTTCTTAGTCTTGACTTGAATAGTCTTTGCAAATATGGTCTTGAGACATTGTTACCGGGTTTAGAATTTCTATTAAAGGATTTAAGTTTGAAGCAAATTAGGTTTTAAAGATGTAATTCTTATGGATTTCTTTATCTTGACTTGAGTAGTTTTTGCAAATTTATTTAGCCATTATAGCTGGGTTGAGTCCATTAGAGTGACCTTAAGTCTCCTTCTCAATGTCAGTTTTGCACCTAGATCTTTCAATTTTAGTTTATGTCAACCTTTCTAGCTTAAGTCTTCTTGTAGGATAGAACACATTTATTAAGCATTATGCTTACAATCACACATTCTTACAGATTTCTTAATCTTGACTTGAATAGTCTTTGCAAATCGGGTCTTGAGCCATTGTTACTGGGTTTAGAATTTCTATTAAAGGATTTAAGTTTGAAGCAAATAAGGTCTTAAAGATGTAATTCTTATGGATTTCTTTATTGTGACTTGAATAGTTTTTGCAAATTTATTTAGCCATTGTAGCTGGGTTGAGTCCATTAGAGTGACCTTAAGTCTCCTTTCAATGTCAGTTATAGTTA